ATCAACTTGGCAACTGGGTTTACCCAAACACTTTTCTGTATTCCTGAAGTAACCTTTAAACCCTGGAATTCCCAGAGTGACTGAAATGTCATATTATCTATGAGCTCCCAACCTGCTTGATACCCAAAACCCCCCAACAAACTCACTGTTGACAAGTCGATTCCAACTCAAAACGATGGGGTATGCTAAGGAGGTGATTCTTGTATGAAGGCTGGAAGAAGGCTAGAGGTGAGTTCAACCACGTGGGTAATGACTGAACCAATCATGCCAACATATCAGAACCAAAAGATAAAAATTCTGGAAATGGAATCTCTGCGTTTTCTGGTTGGTAAAAGAAATAGGTGGCTAGAGGAAATGGCATGGGGGCAATATCTGACCTCTTCTGGTTATAAAAAGAGAAAGAGATGCTAACTCCACATCAGCCTAAGGATAATTGCTATGAGGCAGGGGCCAGGCATACCTCCACCTTTCAACTTCCTGTACCCTATTCGGACATCAATTATCCTTCCCACGGCACTCTACTTCTCTTATGGGCTTGATAATCCATGAAATGGCCACACATAACTCTCATGATTATAGGGGCTTACTAAGGAAGTCAACAGGTCAGCACAAGTCAGAATTAGAAAACATTAAAGATACAGTCCCTTTGGGGCCTCTATTTAAGCCTTCCCTCAACACAAAAACACTTTGTTCTAGTAACCTGGCATTCTGTGATGCTCACCTTCCTGGCATGATCGCCGAAGACAAAATAGGAGCATAAACAAATGTAGTGAAGAAAGCAGATGATGCCCAGCTATTAAAAGACATAGCACTTGGGGTCTTAAACAAGTGTCCAGATAGCAGAGAAGCAACAAAGTCCACATGGAAGAAGCACACCAGCTTGTGTGATCACAAGGTGTCGATGGGATCAGATATCAGAAGATAAAAAACAAATAACTATATTCATGTGAAGGAGAGGGGTCACAGGGGTGACCCAAAGCCCATCTGTAGACAACCAGGCATCCACTCACAGAAGGGTCACATGGAAGGGATGAGTTAGCCAGAGTGCAGTAAAACACCGACAAAACACAATATTCCTCTGGTTCTTTAATGATTCCTTTCCCCCACTATCATGACCCAAGTTTTATCTCACAAATCCTGCTAGACCATGGAATGTACATCAATACAAGTAAGAGCTATCAACACACAGAAGCCTGGACAGATAAACCCTTCAGAAACAGTAGTGGAAATACTGATACCATGAGGGCATGGGGGTGGAAGGGGATAGCAATGGGAGATGTATAACACCTGCCCCTCCCCCCTAGTCTAGGGGGACGAATAAGAGAAATGTGGGTGAAGGGATACAGCGGATGGTGTAAGATATGAAAAATATATATATAAAATTTAATTTATCAAGGGTTCACGAGGGTGGGGGAGAGAGTGGGGAAAAAGAGGAGCTGATAATAAGGGCTCAAGTAGAAAGATAATGTTTTGAAAATGACAATGGCAACAAATGTGTAATTTTTCTTGATAGAACTGATGTATGGATTGTTATATCTGTAAAAACACCTAATAAATGATTTAAAAATAATAAAATAACAATACAGTCCTTTGTCCACAGCAACATCTCTTGTCAGCCACATTGGTAGCCACATTTCTCTCTGGGCCTCAGCTTCTCAGTCACATGGCATCTTGGCTTCTACTCGACTTGGGCCAGGATGACAAAGTTCCTTTAAGGCTAATAAATGCCGAAAGGGCACTCCACTCTGCAAACCAGCTTCTTGCCTAAAGGCACTCAACCTTTACTCTTTCAGCGGGTCCGCAAGTCCTCCACGCCGTGGTCTTGGTGCTGTCACCTCTGCTGCCTCTTGCACTTTCCCGAGGGATCTCAGATAAACTCTGTTGGGGTCTCTGCATTCTTGATTCTCTTGTTTCTGAAATGGCTTTCTTAGACCCAGAGGAATGGCAAAACTGACTACCCACTGTTTGGAGTCTTCTACACCTTATTTGAATGCTCCTTCCCAGTTTTTGGTAGGCTTTGAGCAGAACAGGGAGTAGACGAGCCACACAGGTAATTTCACTGCATGGCGGTGCTCAAGAAGACATGTCCTTACTTTAAGCAACGGAAACAATGGCCTGGGGACCAGATTGAGGAACCTGCTCCCCATATCTTGTCCTAAGCATCTTTTCATTTGTATCCTTTCTGGCATAATAAAACTGTAATCATAACTTCTTTGAATTGTTCTAGTGAACCCTATGGAGAAGTGAGAGCCAACGAGCAGAAATAACTATGTCATGTGGCCCCCAAGCTTGCAGCTAGCTTCTGAAGTCTTAGGCAGATTTTGTCATCTGAAAGACAGCCCTTCAATTTGTGAATCTGACCTAGCTCTGGTGGTAAAGTCCACAGAATCACATACTCCACTTGCTGACTTGGTATTAGAACAGAGTGAATCAGAGAAGAATCAGATTCACTTTGCTTCTTCATGATGAAAAAATGTCACAAGCAAAATCAAAGATAAAGGGTATACATGAATAAATTATACAGAGAGACCTTAAGAAAATATTACAGAAAAAGAGGTCAGTGTGAAAAATTTGTCAAAAACCTAAGCACATAACTTCAGAAAAGAGACAATGAATTAAAAAAAGTGCTCAACCTCATTAAAAAAATTGTAATCTAAACCTATACAAAGATGCAAATTTCTATATATCAGATTGACAAAAATGCAGCAGTTGGGTAACATGCTCTGTTGGTAAACTGTAAACTGTAAACAGGCATTCTTATTTTTTTTGCTGGTGGAATTGCAAAATAACGTAAACCCTATGGAGGACAATTTGGTAATATCTAACAAAATCATACATTTAGTGTTTTACCCTGCAATTCCACTTCTAGAAGTCTACACAAAGATAAACTTACAATAATACAAAAGGAACATATACAGATTATTCATTATAAAGTCATTTATGACAGAATTTTATAAATTACTTCTGAAAGTGAGGAAATTATATACCAAATGGAGTGGGCCACTAGGACATATTTTTAAGTAGATATACAGAGCATGTAAAATGCTATCATCTATAAACACAGGAAGAATAGATATATATACACACAGTGATACATTTACATGTGAATTTGCTGATTTCTGCAAAAAGAAGCACTAGTAAGATAAACAAAAAATAATGAAATAAATAAAATTTATTAACTTTAAGGTAAGGGGTAAATGAAGAAAATGGAAGGAAACTTTGAGTATACCTTTTCAAAAGTTAACTTTTATATCATGCAAATGTTTTATATTCCTCAAATTAAAGGATGAGAAGCAGTCTAAAAAACAGAAAACAAAGGGAAAACATTTGAACTGCAAACTAGTAACAATTAAACACAAAATAACTGTTTTGTGTACCTTTTGAATATGAATTTGACTTTTGATGGGATATATTCTAAAAACAAAAGAACTGCAAAGCCATCTTTAACTTCATTCACTTATTTTATCCTAGAAGCAGTAGCAGTCGTATAATTTTGAAAATTTCTCCTTGAATTGTGGTTTGAAAACAACTATATTACTGTTATTCAGAACTAAGTTCTTCTGTGATAGAGGTGAAGTGGGGCAGATTCTTTTTTTCAAGAAAGTACAAAATATGCTCTTCCAAAAACAAATACAAGTAAACTCTCACCGCCATCATGTCCATTCTAATAGGAACCAACCCTTTAGGACAGACTAGAACTGCTCCGGGCGTCTCTGAGAATATAAATCCAAATCCTTACAGGAAAAGAGGCCTCGTCTTTCTCCCATGTGGCAGCTGGTGGTTTTGACCTTGCAGTTAGCATCATGTCACTTCCTTGTATACCCTTCTCTGAACACTGTTTTAAGTGGCTTTATTTTTCATTGCTATATTTATTTTTGAGAGAAAGATGGGACTTTCTACTCCCATAGAGAATTACAGTCTCAGAAACACATGGGTAGTAAGAACCTTTAAGATCTCTATGAGTTGGCATTGGCTCGATGGCAGTGAGTTTAGTTCTTGTTTTTCGATTATTTTGTGTATTTTGACACATCTCTTACTTATTATGTACTCAACGTATGCATGAGTGCTTGCCCCTCACTCCTGCTGGCATGGCCCTTTTACTTCCTCTGAGTAAGAGTTGAGTCTGTTCACTGTGGTACTCCAGGCTAGAAGGGTGCCTGATACTTTGTAGATAATTATTGAACAAGTTATTGAACAAATAAAGAAGGAAATAACTATAAACACATACTTTGCATTATTTCTTGAAATAATGAAAAATGCATTATTTTAAAATGAGGTTAAAATAGTAATTTTGAAAAATAAAAAAATTAAAAGAGGAACCAGGGATTATTGTAAACGTATTTTCCACACCGAAAGATAAAGCTTCATTTTCTGATAATTATTCTCTAAGTAAGTCAAAATACACATTCACTTTTGTAATTTTATCATCTTGAGAAAATTGCAGTAATTTTGTTTCCTGATGCTTTCAACATTACAGTCTTTGAGAAAATAAACAATGTCTAAAGTCAGTAGAAAGCCAAATCCAAGGGTACAATACCCAAAACACACACCAAAACATCAGAATTAAATATTTTTCAGATATTCCCAAATTTTATATTACAAAACAATAATTGCTTTTTACTTAAATCAACTTGTGGATAATTATCAAAAGAAATTTCTATAACTTATTCATTCATCAATTAACTATTACACATTTAATATTTTCTTTCTATTTCATTTAAGTAATTTGAATGCATTTAAAGTAAAATATTTTTTATAGCTCAAACAGAAAATTTAAAGTTAAGTCAAAGGAAAATAGTTTGATTTTTTAAAAAGATGAATGTGATAGGCCTAAGGAAAGTGAGACAATTGAGAAAAGTTGATTAAAAGATACTATTCTTTTATGAATATTTCTGGTTTTGTTGCAAAACCAAATTATACAATACACAAACATCAACTAGATTTAAGAGTTTAAGGAGTACATTAAAAAAAATAGCAGTTCATAACAACACACAACTCACCTACAACACCATTCAATACGACCTTCACCTTCACAAGTTTTTGCCCAATGGTTATCTGCCAGATTTTTCATTGCAACAGCATATTCACAAAGCGTTTCCTCATCTTCACAGTGTTCTCTCCAGATCTTATCAAAATCTCCCACTACAAACAAAGAAAAAAGTAAAATAAGCAACCTTTACTTTAAAACATGTTCAAGCTCTTACAAGTTTCAGCATAATCTAAAATTCTTTACGAGAATATATATTATGACATTAAAATAAATTCTGAATTCTTATTGGTTCATATTTTATAACTACCTTCATGTAGTCTTAATTATTATGATTAAGTAATCAATAGCAACTCCTGGTGACCCACTGGTTAAAGCATTTGGCTTCTAACCAAAAGGACTGCAGTTCGAGAGCATCAGAGACTCAAAGCAGCCAGCTACTTCTGGGGAGAAAGATGTGGTAGCCTGCTCCCACAGAGATTTTGTTTTAGAACACTGATAGGGCAATTTTACTTTGTCCTAGAGCTGCAATTATCAACCTGTGGGTCATGACCCCTTTCGGGGTTGATCGACCCTTTCACAGGGGTCGCCCAATTCATAACAGTAACAAAATTACAGATATGAAGTAGTAACGAAAATAATTTTATGGTTGGGGTCACAACGTGAGGAACTTTATTAAAGGTTCGCAGCACTAAGAAGGTTGAGAACCACTGTCCTAGAAGATGATTATAAATTGTCTCAACAACAGTGGCTGGGGTTTTGGAATAATCAAATACAGGGAATTAATAAACTGAGCTTGTGCTCTGGCTTTACAGTTTAATAACAATGGGATACCGAAAGAGGTTTACCTATTTTCTTATAAAAACACATTGTATTAGCACTTTCAAAATCATGGTCTTTGATATGGTAACAGGAGTGAGTTAAACAAAAGTTTTATGGTAAATATGTGGGGGACAGTTGGATGTGCCAACTACCTTTATACAAATTTCTTCTCTATAAGATTTATTTTACAGTCTATAGAAGGTATAATCTAGGACAAGATTCTGGGTACAAGAAGTTTATTTGGGAGAAAACCCCCAAAATAGGAGCTAGGGAATGAAACTGAGGCAAGAAATGAGCAAAAAAGGGAAGTACAAGGGTACGTTCTTCTATTGATTGCTGATAATTGAGGTTGCTGATGTGGGCATGACGTATACTAAAATGCTTCTCACAATTGTTCACCTAAAAAACGGGCAGGGGAACACAATCTAAGGGTTTCTCCACTCTGTTATCGAGGACTGTTGCCAGCCTACACTTATAGTCTGCCCTCAGGAACAAAGGGGGGTGTCATCTTCAGTGCTACCAGCAGAGCAGTGAGAAGGCGGCCTCTTGTCAGAACCAGGTAAGCAGTCCACCATAGCTAGGCAGATAAGAATGCTTCCAAATTCTAACATGTCTTTCTTGTTAGGTGCAAATGAGTCGGTTCCAACCCATAGCAACCTTATGCACAGCAGAACAAAACACTGCACAGTGCAGTCCTGCACCATCCTCACAATGGCTCCTATCCCTGAATCCATTAATGCAGCTACTGTGTCAATCCATCTCATTGAGGGCTTTCTTTTTTTTTTGCCACCCCTCTACAGGAACTGGTCTCTCCTGACAATATGTAACACAAAGTCTTGCCATCCTTGCCTCTAAGGAGCACTCTGGCCTTACTTCCTCCAACACAGATCAGTTTGTCCTCATAGCAGTCCACTGTACTTTCAATATTCTTCTCTCCTATCACAATTCACATGGATCCATTCTTCCATTTCCCTTATTCAATGTCCAATTTTCACATTCAGAGAAGGGAATGGAAAATAATCATGGCTTGAAGGCTGCAGGTTAAAGTCAAGGGCAGAGGCTGGGCCTAGCCATCAAGGCCCTGGAAGATCTCAGTTGTAGATTCTCATGGAGATATGGGGGAGCAGGGAAGCCAAGTAGGAGCCAGAGGGTGCTCAGGGAAGGGGCCACTAGGATGACCTAGTAGCTCTGAAAGGCTGGTGAGCCTTCCCCTGTGGGTGGTGGTGGGGCTACGTTGTCATGAGTAACCTGGGGAAGGGGAGACAGGAGTGGCAGGTGACCACAGGAGGGGCTCTGTGGGATATTCACAATATAAATAGGGAGGGTAGGTGATATGGTTATTTACCATTTTTGAGTACCTAACCACGAGGCTAAGTTAACAGTAGGTGTATAATTCAGAGTAACTAAGGCATAATTCAGAGTAACTAAGGCAATTGTATACACTTTTCATTCTTTGGCATCAACTCTATGGCAGTGAGGTGTTTTTGTTGTTGTTATTTTTCAGTTTTAAATCAGATTTGCTAAAATATATAGCAATATGCTTGATATAACTGATGTATGGATTGTTGTAAGAGCTGAAGGGCCCCCAGTAAAATGATTTTTTAAAAAAATCTACTGTGGAAAACACGATAGAGAATGTTAAAGTAAATGAGAAGGATCTGGCACCAAAAGAAGGGGAGAGGCAGGTAAGAACATGTGGGAGGAGTTATAAGTGAGATACAAAATACAGTTTCTATGCCCTGGACCCCAAACTTTTAATTCATGTATTTACTCAACATAAACATAAAAACCCTACTACTAGCCATACAAAAGAGCCCCGGTGGCTAAGTGGGAGATTGACTTCTCCCATAGGAGAAAGATGAGGCTTTGGGCTCCATAGACTTAGTTTCAAAAACCCTCCAAAGGGTTGTTTATGAGCCAACAGCAGTGGATGTGACTTGACATGTGTCCTGCTAATTATCTGGTGGTGTGTCATTGAACAAAACAGAGTAAGCCTTAAGTTGTTAAGAGAAAATTCCACTTTTTAGAATACCCTTAATTCTGTTGGCTATGTTTTAAAAAGATGAAGTTATCAAAAACAGAACAGCAAAATTACATTTTCTTTAATAGCCCATTATTTTATTTTGTACAATATTTAAAATAATGGTATTTAACCTTTACCGAAAACATTTTCAAAATAATCTATCAATTGGGTTCCAAAAGTCAAAGCGAAAAGATTAACCACAACTTACAGTACATATTTAAAGCCCTCACACTGACTCAAATGGACATGCATACAAGTTTGATCGTAAAGACTTTTTTACCACTTAGTTATTAGGTGAATATTTAAAAGACTGTTACTGAAAAGGGAAATAGCTTTCATTATCAAAGTCAAATATGGAACTTGAGCATCTTGGGGTCTGCATCAAAGGTCTAGTCAAGATAGTACAAGAAGTGTGCTAGCAGTCAAATCCAAACAACTATAACTATGAAGTAATCATCACCCTGGCAATTTATTTTAACACATTGGCATTTGTGAAGGACTCAAAAATAATTGGGATTTACTGATTTCTTTTACGCTTCTTACAAGAATGAATGAATTTATCTTGACATAAATATATAGATTTGTAAATATTTCTAAAAATTATCATGAGAGAAAACGGTTTTCTGTGTGAACAATGACAAAACACATAACTAAAAGGCAGTTTTTTAAAAAATCCACAATATTAAATAGACCTAGATTTTCTTATATGAAGAATTTCAAGAAAGCATTAGGAGTCTATACAACATTATGGAGCTCTAGTAGCACACTGATTATGAGTTGAGTTGTGATACATAAGGTAGGCAGTTCAAAACTACCAGCAGCTACTCAGGAGAAAGACCAGGCTGTCTACTCCCTTAAAGAGTTCTAGTCTCAGAAACTCACAAGGGCAGTTTTACCCTGTTGCCATGAGTTTGCAGTGACTTGTTGGCAGTGAGTTTGGTTTGGTTTTAGTACAACATTATGAATAAAGTTCTAACTTGTGTATTCTTTGCGTATACGTTGTTGCTAAAGTAAAGTACAACATGAACAACAACAACAAAAGAGAGGACTAAAGTAGCTATATACTTCATATACCTCATTCTGCTTGTGACCGGTAGGTTGATTGTGCCAAGCTGGCCAATAGGAACATGTGGGATTAAGAAGGTCGCAGCTTGACTGGAAGGCTCAGCCAACCCCGCCTCTCGCTCTCTGGTGATAGGACCAGCGTGCTATTGCCTTAACTAGTTCTCTGCCTTAACTTGTGAGCTACACTACCTGTGGGGCACCCAACCTGTAGATTGCGTCACTAGAGCTTGAGGTTCCTTTGAGACTTGCTTTGTCACGCTGGTATATACATTGCTTGAGCTTGGGACTGTCGATCCTGTCATCTGGCTGAATGCTGGTGACCCATCTGGCTGAATGCTGTTGGGCTGCCTGTGGCTGTCTGCTTCCTTGCCCGTGGACCCAGCAGCCCTCATGAGTTGAAGGACTTCTGGTATGTTAACTGTTCCATGGAACTGAGTTGAAGTGAGTCCTCTGTACTGTTGTGTGGATTAATTAGCTGTTCTATTCCCTCATGCTCTATCTATAAAATCGTAAGTGTCCTGGTTTTGTTTCTCTAGAGAACCTTGTCTAATCCACTGCTCAAATCAACTTTAGTATTTTTAGAAAGCACAACTAAAAAATGTGTCCCTACTGTCTTGTTTGAAAATTAGCAGTATATATTTTATACCTGTTGTCATGAAGTAGATTCCAGCTCCCAGCAACCCTACAGGACAAAGTGGAATGTATAGCTTTAATCCTTACAGAAACTGAATGTTACTTGAACTAAGGAGGGTGAGGTAGGGGCAGGGAGATCCAAGAGATAACCCAAAATGGTCCCATGAAGATAAGACAGGATAGCAACATACGTACCACTATTTTATATGCTACTTGAAGGTGGGACCATGAACTGGAATTTGGTAGTAAAAATGGAGTTCCGTAAGTATTATTTAGTATTAAAACCAGTAAAATTAAGGCAAAAAGTGAAATGTTAAAAACATGGACACTGTAGAAAACATGGACACTGTATGATATTGCTCTTGTAAACGCATGTACCACAATTACAAATAGAGCTGTATGACCTTGAAATTTTGAGTATATATGGAAAACTATTTTAGAAGGACCTGTGATCAAAAAAGGTTTCTCCAAGCATTGAAATTTTCAGTTTTCAATAGTACTGCAAAGTGTGTGGTTATAACAGGAACTAAGTGACATCATTTGCCAGAATTTAGATAACAATGTAGATATAATATTCCCTTTAGTAATAACATGGAAATGAAGAATAAGAGT